GTTGTTCATGGCCTAATATAGGATAATATGCAGTTGTAGCATTGTTCTTGTTGTACATGTCCTCGAAACCGAGTTCCAATTACGACACAAATTTCTATTCGGGACACAAAGACATTCTGCAGTAACAAATAACTTTGGAGTACCCTACATAGTTAATGGTCACGTCTCTCTAAGTTTAGTCCGATGTACACGGACGAACGCCGCAAATCGTCTATATTAGGTTTCTCTGGCCCCATGTTATATAGGGCGAGATTATCGGCACGCCGGCCACCATTCAAATCCCTGGCTTTAACCGAGATTTCACCTCGTGGAAAAGTCAATTTTATATTTTTTGTCCGATCCGGTTTAATCAGCCCGCAGAAGTGGTAGCTTTATATAAGTACATCCATGCAAAGCGCACAGCTTGCGTTATACTTTAAATTCACACGAATTTTCGATATGAGTTATCTATAATTCAAGGGGCCCATAATCCGTGGCGTGTGGAACCGCTCGGCATCCTAACGACGGACACTCGTAATTTAGTGGAGTTAGGCAGGACGTACGTGATCCGACACACGCCCACACACAGGATATAAAACCGTGCCGTCTTCTATTTAACCTCTACACACAAACTATAAATTCATACACAAACTTATATCTCCTGCATAATATCCCCAAAAAGGTTTTATTTATGTCTAAACTAAAGTACATAAAGTTGTTATTCGATATTCTCATAACTTGTTTATCTACGACTAGACTGTGTTTATATTAGTATGTTATGGTATTTGTGAATTAACACTTCATCGAGTACACACATAAGTCTAGTATTTGTCTAAGAGTACTAGACTTACGCCTGACTGATTCAACTAACCGCTTGCGATTTAATTCACTTCACTAACTAACGTTGTTTAACTAAATTGCTCTCAACTATTTATTGGGACTATTATTAAAACACAAAATTACCGTTGCATTGTTTCGTTCCATGCAATATTAACCAAGGTTACAAAATATTTGAATACAAACGAAATCGTTTTACTTATTTACGTATTTGCACCAAAATTAGTTAAACAATGTTGGCGCGTGTACAATATTTTGCGGCTGTTTTTACGATAATCATAAAATGGTTTCATTTTGTTATTCGTGTTAAATCAGCTTTAAAATAGGCTAAGCGAAATTGCTATGCGAATTTATCCGAAGCATTAATTCACACTATAGATAAAGCTGATGCATGTGTGTAGATAAGTAGCTCGCTGGGAACCGGTATCGGATCTAGCGTAGCGGAAAACTCTAGCTACGCGCGGATATCGTAGCGCGTAGCGGATCTCAGCTGTTTACTACGATCGTAGTCATAACCGTACGGTTATCACAGAATGAGTATCGCATTGACATTTTTGTATCCTCTTGCCGCCCTTACGATTGAAAAAAAAAACATTGTTGACGATCTGAAAATTCTACCTTATTTTTAGATACTTTTAATTTATATTTCAGTGTTCAATAATAGAGTTAAAAATGTCATTGCGAAATGAACTTTTACATTGATAGTTAAGGTCATATTTAAAGAATCTATCGGTTATATGTTTGTCTCACTTGCGTTGTCTATAGTGTGAATAACTTCATAATATTTTGATGGTAACATCATAATCAGGATACAAAATCATGGAAGTCTCTCCCACAGTAGAAGGTTCCGGCGTTTTAAATTCCTTCTATTTTAATACAGAAACAGGTCAATTAATAATAATGACAATGATTAATGAACATTCTTGTTCAGTTTTTGTTTAGAATAAATTGAAAATGACACAATGTTCTTTGGACCCGTAAATAATAGCCTTTCTGTGTAAAATTGTGTTAGGATATTGTTTCTTTTTTGTTAACTTGATTATCGCGGTAAGTTTGAGATAAACAATATGTTTTGAAATTAAAATGTTGAGTGTATGAGGATGGAATAAATATTAAATTCATGATATTATGTGCATACATTGCATATACATGAAAGTATGTACTACTGTAGTTTTCACATTAGTAAACAATGAAACACACGTAGTTATCATCACCAGCTTATAAGTGCCCTATGCTGAGCAAAAATCTCTACGTAAATAGAAAATGAATGAACATTAATCACTTCCATGCTCAAACCACATTCAAATTTGAAATGAGAAACTATCAATCTAAGTTGTCTCCAAATGTTTACCTTCACCATATATCAGCGGTGTCTAAGTACATAATCTTAGAAAGTACATACATATAGCTAGAAAAAGTCATATTTTTAGATTTAGAACCCACTCGTAACTACATATGAAGACACTGAGCTAATTAACTTCAAGCCTATCATGACGTAGAAATAAAAACACAATTATTAAATAATTACTAAGATGATTCGAATTTTGTACAGATTACATTTACCTATGTAAGGAGGTTTCAAGCGACGTCCACACCAAGAATCTTTCAAGAATTGGTCTGAAAAACGCATAAAGGCGTCGTGGTTATTCGAGACCCAGCTAAAGACTTTAGCGTGTAAATTAAATTTAAAACTTAATATTTTTGTGGACCCACTTACTTATAGACGGACAATGCACATAAAAAATAACAGATGTTGCTAGCGTCTGAACGCTTTTATACAATAAAAAATATAAAGTTGTTCTCTCAAATCGTTAGCGCAGTGAATGAAACAAAAGAAACACAAACATTCTAGAGATAAAAGACAAAAGATTTTCTAGCTTCCACCATTTTGTTATTGTTTTAGTTCAAAACGCTAGCTCCGAACTATCACGACGAGGACCTCTCAAAACAATCTAACTTCAGACTTCTGACGTGTCACAATCCACACAGATTTTTCTAAGACTGATATCGACTAACTGTCCAACTTCTAAATCGTTCAGTTACATGGATGACTTACTTTTTAAACTCAATCATAAAATACCAAAAATGAAACCTTTAATTTAGATATAGTAGAATTTTTTAATTGAACTTTCTCAACACACCTGATATACACGTTCATTTTATCACAGTAAAAACACAAAATCGCTTAATGATGGAAACTTATTTCAGTTAGAGAATTCCACGTAAGTTACTGCACAAGTTAGGAAAGCTTTGGCTCAGCATTCTTTCATTAAGCAATTAAGTAGTTTCAGTAAACTGGCTCCTGCGACTCAAAAGAAGAGATGCGTTGTATAAAACCACTTATAAAGCCTGACTTCACTATGAAGTACACCAAGAAATTAGATCTAACTAGAAAACCAATTTACGTAGGTAATACAATTTCCTTTGCATACGGTAACACACAATTCTAACAAAATTACTTCCAGCGATGAGAGTGTGTCTTTTCTGGCGTACCCATAACCTGCGGTTCACATAAAACATTATATTAAAGCTGAAAAAATTACATACATTTTTCAAAGGAAAGAACAGGAAAGAACAACGGTGCATTAAACAGGCACGCTATCACAGGAACAGAGACCTTTTAGAGAACAATATATTATATATACATATATGTTCCACACGTATCCGTCCTTTTCTAATACATAAGGAAGCGAAGTGCAATCCAAATGCGTTTTTACAAGCATACATTCGTGTGAAGATCATTTGGCAAAGTGCTTTCTCGCTCCCCACGTGGCGCCATTCCAATAATAAAAATCCATTCTGAATTACACCCGTACTATGTCACAAGGTAACTAATATTATTACGAATACTTCCCACATAAATTATCTCTGTTGAAAACAGTATTAAAATAGAAGGATTGTTACCTACAGACGAAACTTGAAAGTAATAGAGTTAGCCAAGAAAACTTTGCTTCGAGCGTTAATGAAAAAGCGAAAATGCTCTGCGAATATTTAGCACTGTGAATGTAAACCAGTTACAATAGTAACGAGATATCTTCTCCCTCCTTTCAGATATCGTACCGAATACTTGAGAACAGTGAAACTGTGAAATATAAATAGTGTGTAATCCGGTTACCGGTAGACAAAGAGTGTGATGAAGTACCAAAATGCTCTGTTTTCCTGGAGGATAAATACAAAACAGTTTCACTAAAAGGTAATAAAAATCTTACAGAAAGGTACCCTATATTTTATCCTAATGTTTTCAGTGGAACGAACGCTGGGGACCCATTTATTACGTTCCGCAGCTGAAATTAATTTCTCGATTCTTAATAATTGTTTTTTTTTCCTTTTTCTTTGTTTAACATAAAAACTTGAGTATTATGATACTCTCAACTTAACTTTTCGGCTACTGAATATGAATTCGTTACTTGTACACACGATTTATTGTGAATCTATTACAAGTTAATATTAACTCAAAGTATTATAATAATACAAGTGTAAGCTGTTGTCACATTCGTGTTCGCGAGAACTACTGATAACACAGTGCGCCGCTCCTCACACACACGGTGTGTTGATACTTGACACTCCACAAACATAAACTTACAACACTAATTATATCTCCCCGCTTTCAAAATTCAAGTTAATGGAGGCGACACACGGCTACTTTACTGTACAGGGTACACAAAAGCACTTTCATGTTACCGTCTGAATGTGTAAAAACTTGAAGTACTTTACTTCTAAACACTTAAAAATAACGCAAACGATGTTGTCGCCGCCGAAACACTAACCCGTTATTATTTAGACTTTTCTTATGAACTTGATATAATGATATAACACACAGTAACATGCGAACACTTGATTTATCGCCATCTTATAAATGGCTTGTTTTTGCCGAAGATACGCCAAAATAAGTATTTCGTTTACGTCTCGCCGCCGTTTGCTACTCACCCTACAATATTCAGGAGAAGGAAAACAGCTATAATTTATACAGAGCGGGACGGATACATTCGAGTATTTGTGTTAGACAGAGAGAGGTAGAATAGTAAGGGACCTTGTTGACGCAGCTTCGTACAAATTGTGACACTACGTGACCATATTATGTCACGGTGTATAATAAAAACTATAATTCCTCCAGACTATTCTGCTTAGAGACCCGAGACTACATTATTTTGAAGGTCGTTCTAATACAAGTTTCCTGTTTACAGGTGGAGTGAATCGGGCGCAGGTTGAATAATATGTAATACGTCACGCCGAGTGACGAACATCGACTTTATCTAGTGCGTGTGTGGTACTTGGTGCATTAGAGTCGCCGACAGCGAAGATGGGCAAGAAAAACTCGAAACTAAAACAAGATACGATCGACCGGTTGACGAGTGCAACTTACTGTGAGTACCATTATGCATTACTTACTTAGGAAAAAGAGCTTGACACATCCTTCTAAACAAGCGTTCTCAGAAATTCGACGGCCCTTGAAAGAGGCAAATGCCAATTCAATCTCATTCGGGAAGCTCATCGATACTTGCTTAAAGGAGTGTGGCGTCGTTCCATTACTGAAGCAGTACAATGGCTTCGCTGTCAAGACGAATAGCCTCTAGACGTCCCAGCTGCATGGTTTAGTGCGAGTCTTACCGTTAATACTACAACCAAGACGGACTCTGATTTGAAAGGGAACAATTCTCGCCCTCCTCAGATACCAGATACCAATGCAGTAAATGAAATACCTGTCTCTAAAACATTTCAGATTTCGCAACGAGATTTTCCCTTGTTTATAAATTCTATTTGTCTACATTCTATGTATACTTGTATTATTAATAGTGAGCTTTTGTGTTCATCCAATTGAATTGTGGCACACAAATCAATATGTTGGCCTTTCATAATCAAGTTCATTGTCAACAATGCAGTTATTTCAATGTAATCTGTGCTATGTATAATGGACGCAGATTCACGAGGCGTAATCAAAATGTATTTTATAAACATGTTGTTTCCAACAACTCAATTGAATTTGAATGGATCAAACGAGAATCTTTTGCATAATTTCATAGGAAAGAAAACGTTTCTACAGACGATTAGCTATGCAGAAGAGGCGCAGAAGCGTGGTTGAGTCACTTTGTGTGAACATGTCTCATACCACGCATCGTTTTCATTTGAGGCGCAACCACACCCTTTCTATGTTTTCCAAGTCTGTTAATTAACAGAGTCATGATGAACATCGATGATATCATCGATTTAGGTCATTCAATTTTCGGGACATGTTCTGCATACTTTATACAAACGTTGATATAGCTAATCGAATTGAAACCTTAAAGTTCTTGTGGATACTGGTCGGTATAAAGCAAGTCAGTAATTGTGTGACCGCAGTGATCTTGCCTGAAGTGGTATTTGAATTCGGTCCGGGGTAAGCTTTCCTAAGTTGCGCATCCACTCGACTCAATAAGGTCCCCGTGGTGCCGAGTGCCACCATAAGTGAAAATCGATTCGTCAGTGGTCGCAACCGTGCGAATTGTAATTAAAGCCACAGCGAACAATTGTTCGGGGATGATTTTATTGTGCAAGTGTACAATTGAGGAGGACGGATAAAGGTCTAAATTAACGTTTTGTCGTTACAACTGAATCGCTTACCGGTGATTAATTCACCAATCGCGCGGAATGTTAAGCTGATAGGAGAACTTTTAGCTGATATTTAGCAAAACAATACATTTAGAAAATATATTGATATAATTTGTGCGATAGATCCGTCAGTACTTAAACTAATGCAGTCGTTCATACAATGATTTTAGTTCAAGTATCGACTTATTATCTAAGACGTAGATATAGCTATTGTTCTGAAAGCAGGGTCTATCTTTATTACGTTTGTGTTATAACAAACTTCGGCCGTTTCTTATCTTCTACTTAATGGAAGTATTCAGATATTCTGAAATTACCTACCCCACCTGTTACGTTGCATATTAAATACATAAGGTGCCTTCATCTAACAAAAGTACTTTTGCAATAATAACAAAAAGTACAAACAATATTCGTATCTCATAAAAAAAAACTATTTATTTAGTTATTACATTTTTTTATTTTAACTAATGGGATTTTTTATTTGTAATGAATCATGTCTGACCAAAAATTATTTACGTATACCTAAGTTTTATAAATTTTTTTCATTCAATTTGCACGTGACCGTAATGTTTTGATTTAAATATGTTTTAAAGACGCGTTTGAGGGATAAAATTAATTATCAAGATATTGCTCTCGCCCTGCATGGAGCGAGAGGTATCGTCAGGCTCTTGTTGACTAAATACCCCTTTTCCTGCATCAGACCGAGGTCACGAATTATGTCACTTGTTCCGCAATCCCGGCAAAAAAAATTAGACCTATCTGGCCCCATCTATTGTGGTCTGCGCGCCACTCGCCGCGCACTCGGGTCTGGATCTGGTCAGGCGGCGCGCTACTCTAAGCCTACCTTCATGCCTGTCGAAGCGTGGCTCTCCTACTCTTAATTTATATAAATTGAAATTATTTTCGATTTATTCGAAAATCCTTTTAGCAATCTATTCAGTATTACTCAGATAATCTCTGTAAGACAGACGCACTCAATTACAATTACTGAAAATATTTAAACATAAGCAACAAGAAAATTCGGCAAATATTTTAGGTAAATAAGAAATTTTTAAGGGACGTAGAATCAATAGGTCCCTCCTAAATTATTGCAACTTTACCCAAAACTTTTTTGTACTAACTCTGAAATGGTACTTTCAGCTCGGTAAATGTATGAGAAACCTTCGAACCTATTACTAAGAGACGTTATGCTCTATTTTTATCGGGTATAAAAATAAAAGTCCCCTATGTGTAGGCTACAAAAACGCGACGAAGCGATTCGAATTCGTGCCGTCATATCGACTGGCGCCTAAATAGGTATTAATGGTAAAGTGAAGTGAATGCGACACTGTCATGATGATGATTCATGAAAAGTTGGTGCGTGCCGTGCTGCCATGAAACCTCCCGCCACGCCTCCGCGCCGCGCTACCGCTCGTAACTTCTTAATCACTGTACGAATTATCATTAAGACAGTGCGGGTGATGGCCGCTGCGTTAATCTACGCATAGATCAAAAACAGATAAATCCCCTTTTGAGCCTGGCCACATGGCAGACGTGTCCTCTCAATGGAAACAGATTACCAGGATAAATAACGCCTGCCAACTTTAGTGTAATCCTTCCCAACAGAATGGTGTCCATGGCTCCATTATTTCATAAGACTCAAGTGTAAATTTCATGCATAATAAATTAATTTATTGAAGGTGTAATCCGTTTAACCACGTGGATTGACAAACATATGGAAATCCGGCGCTGCCGTGCCGTTGTAACCACAACAGTAGTCGCATGAATTTATGCTAATAATAGCTCCAAGCTATGCGGACAGCCAGTAGTTAAGCTTATTAACAAATTAGTTCACACGCCTTCATAAACAGGCTAATCCGTAATTAAGCAACGATTTCGACTATTATATTAAATATATTAAAGATGTTAATTGAAGTTTACTTGTCTATAAATAACGGCGTTAAGTCACAAGTAGCCGGATCTTAGCTGTGTAGTAATTGCGGAGTTTTCCCAAATAAGTGGCGAACTTAGCTTTATGGCGAAGTTAAGTGAGGAAGTTTGTCGGCGGCGCCGGCCGGGCTGCCTCGGGAGACTGTGCGCGCCGCTACTCGCCACTACGCGCGCGATAACACCGTCGTTCATACATATGTATGTACATTACAGCGGTATATACCAACACTGTAATGTTGTCCTACTCACTTACACATAAGTACTTATATAAGTCTTTTCGCAAAAACAAATAGATAGCATAACATTTTCTATTACATTTCTATGAATTCCAGTTAACACAATAAACCACGAATATTCTAGGTACCAACATAAAACCAGGTAAAATATTCGAACAAGAAAAACGCTTGGAACTTTCGGTACCTACAAAACTTTTCCTTAGTCGTTTACAATTATAATGTCAAATAGTTAGGTGTACCTACAAGAGGAATGAGATGTTCTGCGAAAGTGTGCCCCCGTCTGCTCGGGATCACAATTCACTTACCTGAACATCCGCCAAATTTCTATTGTTTACTTTGAATCTTTCATATAACATGGAATACAGTTAGGATGCAAGTTTACAGGAACAAATAATACAATCTTAGAAGTTGTTTATCGTGTAAGACCTTGGTTAGGGTTAGTTATTGGATTTAATTTATAACTATTAGAGATTAACCAAAGGTATTAGACGGTGAGGGCTTACTTGGAACCGACAAGCGCCCTCCCTGTGAGGGTAGGTCGGAGGTCGGCCCTCGCGTGCCTGTGGCCACTTTCACTTGCGAAGGTGTCGGCATTTCCCATTCCTGACACCCTCCTTTGTTTTGCGACAGTGCTCGCTCATCCACCGTATAATTGCTTGCATAAAATTCTGCAAGTTATACTTTAACTTCATTACTTTCAGACTGTAAGTGTTTGAAGTTTAATTAAAATATGATAATGTTTGTTTAAAGTTAGTTATTGGGTGTTGAATGTAACATAGTACGGTCACGGTACGGTGCGTTGTATATGTAAGTGCTTTTCAATAGAACCATCAATCTCATGATACACACTAAACCAATTAAATGACAAGAATACTTTTTGAATTAAGTTATTGTGTAAAATTCTTACTAAATATTCCCCGTGAAGCCTGTCGCGCTGTAACGAAATACCATTTTCTTGTAATGCAAATTCTTGAGACAACAATCCACATTGGCACTTTAATTGCAGATTTATTAATGTCTCCCACTCGTTGTTTAATCTCACCGAGTTATTTCATTAACTATACGTCATACGCATATGAAGTATTCTGAAAATGTGGAATATGTTTTTTAGATCATAGGAAATAAATACGAAACTAGATTTTACAGGATTAATCTCGAAACATCTTGTTGTTTCGTTTTAATTTTTTTCCTTTTGAACACTGACCTATTTGTGATGAAAATAAAATATGAGGACCTGGCAACCATTACTGGTCTCTTTTCCTTTATTTTTAGATTCCACGCTGTAAAAGTGGGTACTTGCGTATTTTGCGTATATTTTATTGGCTTTGTTGCGACACTGTAACGTTTTGAGGCCGGACTCTTGTGATCATTGTGTTTGTGAAACCAACTTACTTTCTGCTCACAATCTTTCTCATGACTTCGGAACTTTGTGCTAGAAACTCTTGGAAAATATTGTCAAAAGACTTGCACAGTCTTCGAGGCTCTTTTCAGTCGGTATTTTAAAAGGCTGTGAACTGGCCTACTTGTAAAGGGGTCGGTCGAGCGGCGCGGGAGAGCGGAAAGAGTGACGTCACAACACTTAGGACCCGCGCTAAGATCTAATGAGGACCTAAGGA